GGCCAACCTATCATAGCCTCTGGAAAAATTTTTAGTCACAATGTGTAAAATTGATCCCCGTAGGGGTCCTGAAAGTTTAGTGGCGATATCTCCAGCCGTTTAGGAGATATCGACCGAAAAGGACAGGGGGGCCGTTTCGGCCCCCCCTACGGGGCGCGGGTTAAGGTTCCAGAGTGACTGACGAAATTACACCTTTTTTCAATCCGAATCGGCATTCGGTCAGTTAGTTTCGGCAGATCTGCATTAGGAACGTCAGCTTGAGTGCGCTTTCGACAAGCCACGCTTCAAACTCGGCATAATGCAAAGACTCGACATGGGGCATTTAATTTCGACACTGAGCGTGGTTTTGACACTGGCCAATGGATTTTGGCACACGGCATAGGACTGTGACATCGGGCATTGGAAAAAGGCCAATTTCATTTTACAATGGCAATGGTCATTCAGTTTCGTTGGCGTTATAACAAGCAAAATCAAGCAAATTTTAAACCACATTTTGTACATTGATGCGTTTCCAATGCTTACCACTAGAATTTTTAGCATTTTCCTTTTCTTAGACTTCCCTTGCATTAATGGAACACAAAATACGCCAGACCGTGGTTTTAAGGTCTAAATGTTTTTTTTTCTGTGGATGGAGGGTGAGTATAGGCTAGCAAGCCATGTCAGAGTCGTGAAATGAGAGGATAATGCGGAGGAAGCATTTGGGGTGAGTCTACCAGGGACCGGTGAGCTGCGGCGGCTGACAAGGCGCCGGTATAAAACTGTCTCGCTACGGATAAGCAGCCAAAGCGATCGATGGGTCAGCCCGCAGGGTTTCCACCTTTCCAGAGGGCAGTTTTTTTTTGTCCAGACTCCAGAGATACAGTTGACCATGACTGACCACACCGCCGTCCTGCAAACATTGTTGCCTCTCTAGGGTGACACGCCCATTCCCATCTCGGCAGACCTGAACCATCCGCGCTGGCGGTCAGCGCCACTCACAATGTGTCGACAGATCGACACAAATGAAAAAATCAATATTTTTGTTTTTCATCCAAGAATACCGCTAAAACATTATCAGCTTTAGATGCGTTGAGAGGAGCGAGGCCGCGAATCACCTTTGTCAACCTTTGGATTCGCCAGGAGCGTGGCCCCGAATGACCCCCGTCGCCCTTTGGATTCGCCAGTGCTTCCGCATTGTCACAGAATGGCGCAAGGATGATGACCTAGCATGAGGTCAGCTTGTGTGCCGGAGGCGTGTGATGTTAGGGACGAACCGGTGTTAAGGTTCCAGAGCGACTGACGAAATTAGGTGCCCGTTGCCGTATTCCAATGAACGGTTGCCGATTCGGATTGAAAAAGGTGTGGTTACTTAGCAACCAAGCGCCCATATTGAGTGTCTCTTTACAGTACCGTGGTACATTTTAACGCACATTCATGCCTTTCCAAAAAGATAAGAGTTGCTTAATTCACTGATGAGATAAATTGACCATTGTCTAGCTTGGCTGCAAGCTGCCGACGTAAAATGCAATATGACAAAACAGAATGCCCTTTGTCGATATTAAATGCCCCTGCCGTTGTTCAATGAGCCTGGTTGAATATCAACAGATGCTAGTCTAAATCCGTGAAACGTGTCGAAATGCGTGCTCCAGTGTCGAGTTGTTGGAGTGCCTGTCGAGATAAGGTGCCCGCTGCCGTAATTGAATGAACGGATGCCGATTCGGATTGAAAAAAGGTGTTAAGTGCCCGTTGCCGTATTCGGATCAACGGTTGCCGATTCGGATTGAAAAAGGTGTTGTTACTTAGCAACGAAGCGCCCGTATTGAGGGTCTCTCTCTTTACTGTACCGTGGAACATTTTAACACATATTCTTAAAATGCCTTTCCGAAAAGATAAGAGTTGCTAAATTCACTGATGAGATAAATTGACCACTGTCTAGCTTGGCTGCAAGCTGCCGACGTAAAATGCAATATGACAAAACGGAATGCCCTTTGTCGATAATAAATGCCCCTGCCGTTGTTCAGTGACCCTGGTCGAATATCAACAGATGCTAGTCTAAATCAGTGATTCGTGTCGAGATGCGTGCTCCAGTGTCGAGTTGTTAGAGTGCCTGTCGAGATAAGGTGCCCGCTGCCGTATTTGAATGAACGGATGCCGATTCGGATTGAAAAAAGGTGTACATTGCCAATGTTGTTCATAATATAAAATGTGCCTCCGGCTATCTCAAGTTCCCAGTCTGATGCAGTAGAGCGCTATGGATGCTTCACACGATGCTGTGAGCCATATGATATTCCATGCAATCTCTGTAGGTTTAACTTTGACCATTCCAGTCACTTAGACATAAATGAATATTATATTGCAGTGCTCAGGCCAACGAGATCACACACTGGTGAGTCTATGGGCCGTACTGATATGCTGTGCCTTCAATTCCAGTGGAGTTGACTTCCGGTGTATCATGCGCTTAAAATGGCAAACGTTATAGAAACCAGCTCAGCCCATGTTTTGTCCATATGCTTATTTACCCTTCAACGCTCCCGTTGGTATTATATCCCGCGAGTTGCTGGGGGGGGGGCGTTAAACGCCCCCACTTTTTTCGCTGGGCCATAGCATAAAAACGGCGCGCCGCAGGCGCGCCAAAATTTGGGTACCTGTAGGAAATTGATTGAAGTTTATTGTGACAAAGTCTAAAAAAAAATCGGTAGGAAAGTTTTTGAGATATCGAGGTTTTAGTGACGTCATGATTTCTGAGTTTTCGACCAAAAACGGCATATGTTCAAAAAATCATATAAAATCACAGAACAGACATACAGACATGCCGTAAACGCCATTAGACTGCCAATACCATGACCAATCAAATGGCTATCTTCGATTATTGATTATCGTTCCGAATTTTCCAAAAACTTGAACTGAATCTTGGCAATTTCTCGTGACTACTTCACGACCATGATACATGCATTTCTTAACCCTATTAGTGGCAGGCTCCTGGCTACCCCTATTAGTGGCAGGGGGGCTGTTTACGACCCCCCTTGATATCTCGAGATCTAACGGGCCGATTCTCAAAATTCAAACGGCATTCGATTTCGCTCAACGTGATCTACATTTCTAAAAAATAAAATTAAAAAATGTCAATAGGGGGGGTAGAGGGGGGTAAAAACGGGCAAATTGCAGATACATTTTAGACTGTTTATCACGGCCAGGTTTCTGAACCAATCTTAACGCAACTTTTGCCGATCGATAGAGAATGAACTAGGAATTCACATGGATCCTAAAAATATGCATTTTCAAAAATCATAGGCGGATACAGCTCATTGAGATTGGGGGTACACAAAAAGCATAGTAAATAAGGTTTTTGTTGGTACTGTTTCTAAAAAGGGTGGTAATGGTCTTGTTATGTTACAATTTTCTTATGAGAGAACGACTACAATTGTATTGGTCATGCATAGGCGGTGTCAGGGCACCTATGTTGGGAGGTAAAACATAACCCCCCTTTTTGGACGCCTGGATCCGCCTATTATAGCAAAAACGTGTCAAAAGAGGATGCACAATAACTGTATATGTTATCACATGATACCTTTCATTCACTGTTCGTAAAACTGGTGCAGCATCGTGATCTTCGCCCAAATGACTCGCTTCACGAATAGGACCCCCCAATTCCCAGTGCTCTGGAGCCGTCCCTGGTAAAGTTATGAACTTGAAATTTTCAGGGAATGTGCCCAATTTAGTTTTAGGAAAAGTCAGAAAATTTCAGCATCTAGCTTCAGCGGTTTCGGAGATATTCCCGAAAAACCTGAGGGGTGGATGAAAACAACCCCCCCCCCCCCTGCCACTAATAGGGTTAAATTGAACTTTTTGAGCCAAACACGTACACATATGATAACATGAATGTCACCATCGTGTTCTACGCCCAAAATTACCAATAAAACATGTGTCACAGGCTGCGAATATCAGTTTTGATTTTCGGGGATATGTGCCTACCCGGTTGACCTGACCTTGACCCTGACCTATGCTTGACTGACCCCTACATGGAGCTGACACTCTTGTAGGCCTTATATGAAGGATTGTGCACCGTTTTGACAGAGTTTATGACGAGAGGCGCCCATTGCGAAGTCCTGAAGTCCATGCTACTGAAAGCCCGATTTCAGGTGTTTGACCTGACCTTGACCCGACCTGTGACCTCAAAATTCAACTTTAAAGCTCTCATCTGAAGCGTCTCGTCGCGTTCTTTCGTTCGCCACCTCGTGCGTTTCGCTGCGCCTATTGGTTCTCGAGTTATCGGCTGGAGGCGTTTAACGCCCCCCCCCCCCCCCCCCAGCAAACGGTGGGTGGCGAAATACTCCAGCAACTGCCGGGATATTTATTGCCTTGGCCTTGTACTGAATTGTTATGTACGTGTGCATTGTTCATGCACTGTCCATAGGTATGTGTGTTTACTACTCTATACTTAGCGTCATTGAACTAAATAACGGACAGGGAAATATTGTTCCAACCAGTCTACAATAACCACTAGAAGTGACCACGGTCTAACTACGGACACAATCTTTTGTGTCGCCTTCTCCCATTGTGGGTGAAACATTGCACAGGGAGCAACAGCGCAAATACTTCGCTCGTCTCTCCGACGAGTAGTTTTGGTAAAATTGCATAAAACGGTCGTCAATATCCTTTCATAGCCTGATTAAAAAGAGTTCACACCTCTGGAATGACAGTACTACATACTTGGAATCGAAGTTGTTTTAGATACCTATTGCTATTGTTATTACGTAGCATTAGGATGAAGAACGATGCAGTCTAGCTAACAAATCTGCCCGTCCGTCTGTCCGTCTGTCTGTTTGCATCCATGCATTTATTAATCTCCAGCATATTATCTGTCAGTGGATGCATATTCTTCTGTGACGTGATCGTTTTCATTTTCAACGTCCATGTGCCCGTACTCCTATGTATACCTCCAACGGATAAGGTTATCGCTGATGTTATTGCGGTCTATCCAGATACACCTAATACCCGCCGTCGCCGTCCGGCCGACTGACCTGCTGACGGCTGCCACCTCTGACTGGGTCAGGGCAGGGATGTCCGTGAGGGGCCGGGTGTCAAAGAGCAACAACGTATCCAGCTGGGAGCAGACGTGGAGGGCGGACAGCACAGTTTCGGAAATGACGCCGGGAATGAGGACAGCGACGTCTCTCAAGCTGGTGAGGGCAGCCAGGAGGCGTCCCGTCGCTTCCGGTGTCATGGATCGTGAGCCTGTAAAAAACATACAGACACACCAACTGGAATCGCTGGAACTGAAGACAAATAATATTCACAGCAAGATATATGTACTTAATACTAACCAGTAGGACGTCTTTTTGGGAAACGGACGAGCGAGTGCAAAAAAGGAATACTGGAATAGCGCAGTATAGTAAGATCCAACTGCTTTATATGGGCCATCCTTCCAACCAGTCCATAACAGCGTAGCAGCCTCGAGCGCCCGTCGTTATTGAGAATAAGATTCATAAGCATATACTATACCCAATCCCATACATAATAGCCAAATACATATACTCATTAGCATAATCAGTACAATATCTGTTTAACGATAGGAGCTACGTTTTGTTAATTTGATAAAGTGCAGTAGTAAGCAGAACGTAAGCGCCACGTGTTCCCTACATATCGACACCTTTTTTTAAACCCCACATTCTGTTCTCCGGTGAATTTCCGGGAAGCACGAAAGATCTCTTTTTAAGTGTCCAATCGTCCGATCCTGATCAAATTTGTGTGTTCGTAACTCGTAAGCTTGTTCTGGCATTGCTTGATCTGCCAGTGCCAAGACAGACAAACTTGAGAAAAATGGAGTGACTGTACCTTTTTTGAAGGTTGCTAAACAGCTTGTCTGAACTTCACGGGAGAACAAATGTGGGGTTTAAAAAAGGTGTCGATATGTCATGGTCATTGCCCATTGGTCATTGGTCACGATATCTTGGCACCGATGCTCTGCTCGTGTTGGTGTTGCTCACCACGAATGAGCAGCTGGGTGACTGTGTGGGCCGCCAGAGCAGCCAGCTGGTCCAGGAGTATGTTCGTTGCTGACAGTACACCGACCACAAGTCCCTCCGACGGACATCTATTGAAAGTCAGCGGTGTCCGAGTCATCCCCAACCCTGTGGAGAGGGACATAATCACCTATTATTAGCATTGTGGGTAGGGAGAGCATTGGTCGTGGGCACCATCAGTCGGCTTATTGACAGACAACACTCGTACCTATAGGTGGCATTATAATCACCTGTGACTGACCTGTCTCCCTAGTCTTATTGTCATTGACAATAAGGCTCAGGCAATTAAAGACTTTCATTATTCATTTTGTTTCCATCGTATTCTAGTTCTGATACATTTGTGTTGGTTTGGTTTTAAGTGCATTGTGGATACTAGATAATGAAGTAAGCTTACATATATGGCATATGTACCTGGTGTTGTGTACCTGGTGAACTGTATGTATGTACAGTCACCAGCACTTGCTACTAATCACCTCGTTTTTGTTCAGTAGTTTGAAGACCGATCAATTCTCAGTCGCGCAAGATACGTCAAACGATCCGTTTGGTCCTCCGATTTTCGAATTCTAACTTGTTTTTGTATATTCGAAGCATTTTGGGATGGAGAGCCAAAAAACCTCTTTTCTGCCCTAAAGTGTGCGGCCACTGGCGGTCGCAGCCGCTAGCAAAAGGGGGGGGGGCCAAAGTCACACTCGCGGGACATAACATTTATCCGTCACCGGGAGGGGGGGGGGTGATCGGCTAATTTTTTACGTCCACGAGGCGCCGCACAGTTGGCATTACTTATGCTTCATCCATCTCATTCTTGCGTGAAATCTTTGAGCTCAATTTAAGGCAAAATCACCAGTTCCATTTACCGTCTCACGGTGTGCCCACCGGTCGGGCCGCTGCACCATGACGACGGATCGGTGTAGCATAGGTATACTGGAAGGTCAGGCACGCGGATTCATGACCTTACCACTATAAAACAATTCGGAAAAGTACAGATAGGTAGGTACCTCATGCTAAAAAGTACAGATACCTCTTGCTTTGAACAAGCATGTGAAACCCAGAGAGCATTTTTAGACTATGACATTTACCCATATAGGTACCTAGTTGTGTGGCGGCGGGAGAGAGTAGGTACACCGACCTCTGGAGACCCCCCACAGGTTCCGAGCTTTCAGAATTGGCAGCTGAGGGCCGCGCGCGATTCCTGCGGGGCTTCGCAACGGCTCTGTTGGGGCTCACTCAACCTGCGTAGTCCTACTGCTAAAAAGACTGGCCCTGAGCCCTAAGGACTTCATCAGTCTCTGCCAGCCCCAGGACCCACACCGGCTCATGGGGACCCGACGTCGAAATATGAGGGAATCAGCGCGGGACCATCAGCAATCTCGATCACGACCAACGTAAGGCTGTGCCGGAGACTGCGTGAGCCCTCTGATCTTCAGAAACCCACCCATGTATGTTTTCATGTATGTAGAGGCCAGTTTAGGGCCCTCAGAGACCAGTACAGGGCCTGCAAACTACAAAGGCCAGTAGTTTGAGACCATCAGAGACCGAGTTGGGCTCTCAGAGGCTAATGTGGGTCCTTACTCATTACAGGCCAACATGGGCCCTCAGAGGTCAGCGTGGGGCCCTAAAAGACCGGCATGAGCCGTCGTTGGACCCCAGAGGCCAGCAGAGGGCCCTCAAAGGCCAAGATGGGCCCTCCTCAGAGGCCAATGCAGACCCTTAGAGGCCGGCATCGGGTCTTCAGCAGCCAGTGCGGGGCCCTTATTGGCACCTAAAGGTTCATCTTGGGACACCAGAGACAGAAATAAGGCCACCAGAGACCGGTGTGAGACCCTCAGACGCCGGTTGGGACCCCTGAGACCGGTTAGGGACCCTCGTCCCTCATAGGCCAGATGTGGGGCCTCAGAGGTTGATGTAGGCTGTTAGCGGTCAACGTGGGCGCTTGACCGCTACTGAAGTTCCCTCAAAGGTCAGTGTAGGACGCTCAAAGACCGGTGTGGGAGCTATATTAACCCGCGCCCCGCTGGGCTATTCAGCCATACGCGCCCTGCTGGGGGGGGGGCAGATTCTGCCCCCCCCCCCTGTCTAACTTCCGAACCGATGGTCGTAGAAAGACGCGGAAAACGGCAATCGAAAGCTCTCAACAAGGCGGATCTAAAGAGCCCAAATTTTTTTGCTTAAGTAGGTCAGAGGTCAGGTCAAGGTCAGGTCAAGGGTACAAAATGTAAGTTTCTACAGTATCGGCCTTGCACCGTAGTTGCCGGAGAATGGACTGAGACTGATTGCCCAAAACGTGTTCTTAGACTACCAAGACAATATTCGTTGCATACAATGTCATTCAAAGGTCAAGGTCAAGGTCAGGTCAGGTCAGGTCAGGTCACCAAAAACAAAATATAGAAAAGGGCATGTGCGACACATGTTTTATGGGTCATTTTACTCATAGAATTCAATAGGCACACTCAATAAGTGATATGGACCACCTCTGGATGAATTTCAGGTCGAGGTCAGGTCAAGGTCAGGTCAAGTGAGGTCAAATTTTGAAGTTGGTTGTTAAGGCCTAAAAAGGTGTCTATCTGATGCAGTTTTTCACGGCGAATCGAATGGTGCTATTTTTGTTTCCGTACGAGGTCTAGAACTTCCAAAAATTTCATTTTTCAAAATTTTTGTGTGTCGTGACGTCATAAAATTTTGAATAACTCCCACATTTTTGAACCGATTCTTCTAAAAATTGGTATATAGGTGCACATAGACTACTTCTCTGACATATATTCCGGTTTTTTCGATACACTCAAAATTTTGGATTTTATAATAATTTTCCCAAAAAAGTCAGTTTTTTGAAAAAAAATGGGTCAAAATCCAAAATTTTCAAAAAACCGAGATAGCCATTTGATAGACAAAGTAGAATCACGTATAACCTTTTTTGTTACGTCTTGATTCCTTTAAAAATGGAGATGTTAGTGGCGTTTGAAATTTTGCCGTTTTTTAGGCGAAAATGGTGAACATGACGTCACAAAAACGTCAATTTCTCAAAAATTTTCCGACGGATTTCGCTGAAATTTTCAGGGAACGTGTCAAATTAATGTATGATAAGGTACTGAAAGTTTGACGTTGCTGGCGTAACGCGTTTAGAAGTTATTGACGAAAAACGGGAGGGGGGGCAGATTCTGCCCCCCCCCCCAGCGGGGCGCGGGTTAATAGCTTGGCGTGTTTTTTTTTTTTTAGCCTCGTGACGATCGAATAATTGCCAGGGCCCCATACACCTATATGGGGGCCCATTGGTTGTTTGGGGGGGGGGGGGGTCAAATGATATGATGGCCCCCTTTATTGACCTTTGGGGGCATGGCCCTGATGCCCCCCCCGGCCCCCCGCGACCGCCACTGTGTACACATACACACATGCCTCTGAGATTACATACTAGCTCATGCAAACTCTATGCAGGCCCCGAAGGTCCCACGCTAGGTAATCCTTAAGAAACCAAGCCGGCATACGGCATCACCACCGGGCTTCTGAGGTGCACAGCACCAACCCTTGAGGTCTTAATTTAGTGTCTTGGAGCCAATCTCCTTTAGCAGGGCCCACCCGCCACTGCCGAAGAGGGTCTCATGCCAGCCATTGCTGAATGCTGGGCCTACGAGAGCCTTAACCCTCGCCGGCCGAGGGGGGGGGCGGGTGCCGCCCCCCCCATAGGGTTTTTTCGCGATAGCTCCGAACACGCTGGCGATAGAGAGCTGAAACTTGGCATACCTGACCTTTGATCCAAGCCGCATCTTTTGACACCAACCGCATTTTTGGGTCAGGTCAGGTCACTGACCTATGACGTCATAAGTGAACCTCTGCACGGTCTTCAGATGTCGCAACTTCGCAACGCCCTCACTGCCAGAGGAGATGTCACAGGGAAATGAAACTTGGAGGATCTAGTATCCATTATGAGTCTCACAACTTGTATATCTCGGATTTTTCCTAAAAGTCATATGAGGTCAGGTCATTTTCGTGACCTCACCATTATAAGTCAATGGGGAAAAATTCAAACTGCTATTCTGGCGCCGGGAACGATCTCCAACTATCTCAAGCACACAGAATCGTGATTTGATGCACACCTTGCAAGTTTAGATGCGCCACTTTTGCAATGTTGACCTTCCGTGACGTCATTTATGACGTCATCAAGGTCATATTAGTTTTTCGTCAATAACTCCCGATCAAATTGAGCTAGCGAGTCGGGAAAGCCACCAATGGACTCAGGAAGACCTGCCAAATCGAATGATATGCGACATGACCTCTTTCGACCAACTCCGTGACCTGGGGGTGCTGACCTGACCTTGACCTGAGGTCAACACCCCAAGTTGACCTGACCCGGACAAAAAGTATATCATTCGACGCGCCTGATCAAGGCGAACACGATGCCGCCAAAATCGCGGCTCTGCGGCCGTTTTTTGCGAAGTTATTCACCAAAAACTGAACCGTACCCTGGGGCACTTGACCTGACCTCAGAGGTCACCGGTTGACCTAGGACCTTAAAATCGGGTACCAATCTCTGCGTCTCGTAACGGCGCACACGCTCGTTTTTTCCGCGACGCGCTAGCTCCACCAGGGGCGAAACGGCGAGGGGGGGTCGTACCCGCCCCCCCCCCCCCCTCGGCCGGCGCGTATGTAGAAAACCAATAGGTCCGGCGAGGGTTTTAAGTAAACCCACGCTGATATTCCATATAAGATCCGGCCATACTCGTGAACCGGTGCCAGCGACGCTGACCGCCAAATTGACAGAATGCGAAACTGAGCCCACTCATGAGTGAAATTTACGTCCTTTGATGGCGCAAGAAAGAAAATGAAACATACAAAAAGCTTTTCTAGGACTTTTGTTCGATCTGAAAGGTGGGGCCAAAAGATAGTATGGCCCCACCTTTCAGCACCAAAGGGGGGGCCATGGCCCCCGTGGCCCCCCCCCCCCCCCCTGCGACCGCCAGTGAGTGTGCCCCAAGAAGTCGTAGAACCTAGCCCCGCCTCTGATCCACAGACCACTAGTGCCATCTCTTGTCAGCCGAACAAGCCGCAAAAGTAAATAATGTCACGTGACCTTTGCACACGCTACAATTACTACGCAGCTGTAGTGGGGGAAGCGGGGC